CCGGAGGTCAGACTAGATGGCCTGGGTGACCCCTTCTGACTCACTCTCTTTCTCGCTCTATGAATGGATGCCGCCTTACTCCTCAGGATGCACACCGTGCCGCTGTTACAGCTTTCTTCCCAGATCAGAGTACCTGCTCCTGCATCGCTGCATTGTCCCTCCTTGCTGCTGGAGTTCCCCAGGCTGGTACCTTCTAGTGCTTGGGAAGCCTTTTAGAATCAACATTCTGATGCAAATATGTAGGGAGGAGCCCTTAATGGAAGGGATTCTCCTCTAGGTTGACTTTTTCTACCCCTCTTTCCACTGTCCTTTTAACTGGCAATTCCAGGCAATTAAAATTAGGACCTTTTGCATGGAAAGCGTGAGCTTTTCCACCGTTCTTCAGTTGCTCCTTGCGGGAGAGGGGGAATCGCTGGCCCTAAGCCTCCTTTGTGAGGATTTTATCCAAAAAGTCGGGGTAAAAGTATTGATAATTAAGAGGGCAATCCTATGCATGTTTAGACAGGAAAAAGTCCTCCAGGCCCCATCATCCCCCAGTCAGATGAGAAGCAAGACAGTGCACATATACGGAGTTAGAAAGGGACTAATGAAACAAGAAAAAAATGAACCTTGAGTGCTTTGGCTTCCACCTTCTTCAGCTGCTCAGATGTGAATCAAAGTGTCCCATAGTCAAGGTGGCAGGTATGGGGTAAGTTCTGGGATCCAGAACAATCTAGTGTATAATACTGATTGATTGTGTGTGTGTGTTTATAATTGTACTGCTTTTGATGTTGTAAATTGGGAAGTTCTGGTGTGAAAGCTGGGCAGCGTAGAAAGCTGCCTGGAAGCTACCCCAGACTGGCAGAGAAAGACAAACCTGTGAGTCCTAGATCAAATCAAGCCAGAATTTGCTCAGGAAGAAAAAATGGCAGAATCGGGGCTGGCCTTCTCTAGGCACATCATGGAAACATAGGAAGAGAGACAGTCAGAAGGATCCTCTGGGGCCATCTAGTCTGACCCCTGGCTCCAGCTGGCTCCACTCATGACATGCCTTGGCGAAGACAGTCATGGAGGGAAAGCTGAAGGCAGCAAGAGGTGGTGAGGGCCATCCATGAGCTGGATCCGTCCCACCCAGAAAGACATGAATGAGTTTGCATGGACTGAGCAGGGCTGTCGAGGGCGCTCATTCGTAGGGTTGCCATGTCTTGGAGAAAACTTGATGGCATGAAACAACGACAGACACGTTGGGAAAAGTTTGTTGGAGAGTGATGGCGCTATCCCTATTATCTGTTGTGTCATGTTGTGCATCCTGGATAAGTATGCTTACAATCATAGCCTTGCTTTCCCATCTTTGGGAATAAAGAGGATAAGAACGCTTGCCTGGTTTTTCAGATATGGGTGACGGTGGAGGGGAGATGCCCAGGCCAGCCCAGCGTGCGTTTGGCTGCCCAGGATTTGAACCAAGCCCTCTCCAGTGGCAGCCACTTCCAGTGCACAGGCCAAGTGCAATTTGGGAGCAGCTTCTGGGGCTGCATCCAGAAGTGGGCGGGGCATAAAGCCAAAGGGGAGGGGGCCCAAATATCAGCATATGTTCACTTAAAGCTGTTCCTGCCAGAAACAGACCTTAGGAAGTATTTTAGCCATTGAGGATGGGGGGAAGACTGCACGGAAGTCAGGGGATCGCCAAAATCATTGGTGGTTAGAGGAAAGGTGGGCGGGGCCAGGAGAAGGGGCGGGGCCATCTGGGAAAGCCAGGATGTGCAGGCTGAGCACCTGGGCCAGAGGTTCCCCCCTTCTGCACTACTGGCAGTGACTCGGGGGGTGTGAATGCTGCCCCCGCCGTGGGAGGCTGCGAGCAGGAGGGTCCGGGGATGCCGCGAGTCTGCAAAGCCTGGGCCCCTCTTTCTCTGGGCCTTCGCCCTGCAGAGCTGGTGGCAGCCCCATCACAAGCCGCTCCGCAGCCCCCTGTGGGCCCACGGCCTCCCTGCTAATCTGTTAATGGCCTGCCTTCGGGAGCTAAGATGGTTGTCATTACAGCTCCGCTCTGCGATGCCCCCCGGGACCGAGCAAAGGAAGAGGCGCGTCCAGGTCCTCGAGAAAGCGCTGGCGTGACCTCACTCGGCCTCCCCGGGGATATGAGATCATGAGGATGCCGAAGCTCTCCGCGGGCTTCCATTTGTTCCGCACATAAGGACAGCCTGCCGAGTGATCTCATCCTGAGGGTCCCGGGGGAGCGGACAGGGCCTGCTGTTCTCCTCAAGGGCCCGGTCGCCATGGCTCTCGCTGGCAGCCCGGACGCAGTGCCGGCGAACGGGTGTCCATCCCGGGCAGCCGTCTGCAGGCTGCCTTCAGTCCCTTTCTCCGCCTGTGCTCGCCGGCATGCAAAATCTTTCTGGTGGAGGGACTGTGCATCCTAGATGTGACGAGTGCTGCTTCATTCTGCCTAACCTTGCGCATTTGCTGTGCGCCTGCCCACCAGCACTCGAGCGCATTCACCTTTTGCCCGGTCACTGGCGCCTGTGGCCGCTACTCGTGGTCCCCGGTGCTTCTGTGCATTCTCCATACACCCAGGCTCGCAATCGGCAGAGTGGCAAAGAAATGCTGAGGAGCGGATGTTGGGTGCTAACCCAGGGCCAGCTTGACTGGGATAAGGTTCCCGTGCTGTTAGCACGTACCTCAGAATTTTGCTTGATGTCATAATCAGGACTGGGAAGATGTGGCTTTGGATCTCAGCCATCTAACTCCGTTTGAGACTGGTTTCAGATCACCTGCTGTCTTGAGACTTGAAGAAGTAATCCATGATGTTGCTAGAAAAGAGCTGCAGGGCTAAAGTTTAATTTTCGTTTGCTTAAAGTGTATTATACCTGCATGTTGTTTGACTAAAATTAAGTAAACGGACAAATAAAAAAAACTTGTTTTAAATTGATTGATTGATTGATTGATTGATTGAGTGGAAGGAGTTTTGTAGACCTTGATATGGTCTCTTATTGCATCCAATGGATAACCAAGTTCCACCCCAGGCCCCACTTTCTGCAATTCCCCTACAGGACTTTGGTCCCCATGGGCTGAATGTTTATGAATTATTTTTCATATTTTAATGGTTTTTTATCAATGCATTCTTGTTCAACTTGTAAGATGTCTTGGGAGGGTACTTGTGGCAGATAAACAGAAAGCAATATAAATATTTAGAAAATGAAATGTTGGTTCATTCTGTTTTATTTTTATTCAGTTTGTTTAGCATTTTCTTTTCATTAAAATCCATCTCTGTGTCTTACATACACACCCCTATATCCTGCCTAATCGCTGTATAATATTTTCATTAAACTTAGCTGACATTTTATTTTCAAAACATTCCCACTGTGTTTTGTTAGTCTAAGGTAAATAAAAGGGTTCAGTCATGAGAGCTAAAATGATGATAAATAGGGGCATTGGGTTTACCTTCCAACTGGAAATACACATACTGTGCTTTCATTCTCTCTCTCTCTCTCTCTCTCTCTCTCTCTCTCTCTCTCTCTCTCTGTGTGTGTGTGTGTGTGTGTGAGAGAGAGAGAGAGAGAGAGAGGGAGAGAGAGAGAGAGAGAGAGAGAGAGAGAGAGAATGAGAGAGAGAGAGCACACACACTTCAGGATGGCTTAGATTTTTTTGTCATGTGCATGTTTAGTTCATCTCTTGGTCTGGATGCTTAATCTGAACCCTGCTCTTATTGTACAGTAAAAATGGGGGGAAATGATGTAGCTGCTACAGATTTAAGGTCATGCCTGTTTGGCCCCAGCCCAGGGATCTGTTTTGAGCGCTGGATGGAACTCACGGGCCCCGAACACAAACAGCCGCTCCTCCTGCTGCAGGATTTCTGCATTTCAGCGGTATAATTTCAGGCTCGGGGGATCCAGTTTCCTGGTGGTATTGTAAAACCGTCAGGAGTCCTTGCTGATCTGCTACAGATCTCCCAGAGATTTACCTTCTGCCCATGCCTGGCTCTGCAGGGCAGCAGCAGAAGCACTCGGAAAATAAGGCCAAGATCCTGGAAGCATGAAATAGGAGAGGCAGCATCTCCTAGAGATGGAAGTTGGAGGCCTGTATTTTCAAGCTGTCCTTTCCGCCCCAGGAGTGCAGTCAGCCAGGAGGTAAACACAGATCAAAATTGCTTTGCAGGTCCCTCAGCGGTTTGTTCAGTGAAGCCAAGCTGCCTTTTATGTAAGAGCATTGAAGAGGCTCGGTCTGGTTTCACAAGGAGCCTGTGCATTTGTCACAGGGCTCTGCACTTTGGAGAAACAGGATCCATTTCGAGCAAAACAAGACAGGTGGCATGCAGTCACACCCGCTCGCCTTTTCCTGAATGCGGACTATTCCTTAAAGCTATCCTAAAACTACCAACCTGGGAGATAATAGATGTAGACTATTGTAGTGTAAACCTGGTGAAACATTAGATGTTTCTGTTTATGGAAGGAAACATAAACCTCACAGGAGTTAATAGACTGGCACATTGATTTTTAAAACCTTTCTTTGTGGAGAACTAGCAACTCAAGCCAGGGCTGATTCTCCCTGGCACTCTAGCCATCTCTATGCAGGGGGTTTGGTCTGGTTTGGTCAATCATATCGGCCACCATCTACAATCTAGACTTAACAAGGATAAATCTTTGCTGGACTTAAGTTGATTTTTCATTAATCCCTGCTTTGATTGAATATGTTAGCCTTGCTCCTCAGAGTGTATATTATACAAACCTTGTGTTTAGGTTTAGATTCTTCATATGATTGCTACGCTATTAATTTTGTGAGTGTAGTTTGGTCTGGGGGAGGACTGTAGCTCGCTCTTTGCACCTCAGAATGTCCCAGGTTCCTTTCTCAGCTTCTCCAAGCAGTGCTGGAAAAAGCTTCTGTCTAAACGGCTGTGCTTGCACCCCTGAAACTCCTTGGCAGATCCCAGGATCCCAGCTGGGATCCCCCACCCCACGCGCTTCGCTCCTCCTCGGATCCCCGGCAGCCAGCAGGGCCTCTTAACACTCTCCTTTTGCGCCTCGCAGGGGAAGTTCTACCTGCTCATCGAAGAGCTGAGCCAGCTGCTCCGCTCCTTGGTCCCCATCCAGCTGTGGTACAAATACATCATGGGAGATGACCCGTCCAGTGGCTACTTCCTTGGCGGGATTCTTCTGGTCATGTACAGTCTCTGCAAGGTACGTGGCCGGCCCTCCGCTCTGTTAGGCGATTCTGTTTGCAGCCTGTTCTCCTTTTCAATATTGGATAATTGCAGGTGCTGCATCCCAGGTATAGGGCACAGCCGAGGTTGCCACGTGGCTTCCAAACCACAGTATATTAATATCGCTGCTTTTGTGGCCATTGCTGCAAGAGGTAAAGCGAACCCCTCTCGCCTTCCCCAAAACTGCGCAGCACAGCAGTCAGGGCAGTGCCTGATTTGTGAAATACGAGGCCCGAAGGACACGATCCAAGACTTGCTTAGACAGAGCATGCCGGGGGTTCTAAGCCATTTCTCTGTCTAAACACGCATGGGGTGCCCTTTAAGTCAGAGGTATGAAATGTGTGGTCTTCCAGATGTTGCTGGACTGACTCCCATTTAGTCTATGCTATGGTCCAGAAAACATCTGGAAGGACAAACATCCCCTGCCTGGCATGAATGCTTAGTTCTAGCCAGAAATCATGCTGTATAATTTAGATACCCCATTCCCACAATCACAGCGGCACTATGTGATGGAGAGAAATCTATACATGCTCAGAGATACTCTTTTCAGTACTTTTGAACTACCAGGACCAAACCTTGCTGCTGAAAACAGAAGTCTGGACTAAGGCATGGAGAACGCAGCAAATTGCAATCCAGAGTAATCACCAGCAGTGGGCATTGCTTGTCAAGTATGCTTGCCAACTGGTTTTTATTTCCCCCTCTGCCTTTAACAAGAGGCACAAATGTTGTAGGAGACAGGGATTTTTTTTTTCCAATTTAGGATAAATTTGCCCAGCAACAATATATCTGGCTTATGGCAACCCTAAGTGAAAGCCCTACAAAATGCCTTCTCCTTGGCAACCCTGCTCAGCTCTTGCAAATTCACGGCTGGTAAACATTTCAGAATGTGCCACTGCACCTTGTTGCTGATTCTTGCATTGCACGCTTCTGAAGGTGCCTGAGCAGCCGGGCTGTTTTTCTTTCTGGCTGATAGGCAGCTTCGATCCATCCATCCCAGCCTCTTCTTCTGCCTCATCTCTAGCTCTTGACCACAGGGATCCTGGGATGAACACTTTTGGCTCTGCCATGCTGAGTCCTTGCAACAGATCACAATTGGTTCTTCTTGTGAAAGCAAGGCTGGAGGTTAGAAGGGAGAGAAACAGCGAGCTAAAGAGGTGTGGGAGGGGTGTCGCGATAGAAACCGCAAGACGGGAAAGGGAACTGCCTCAACATTTTCTAAGGCTTTTAATAAAATGTTGTTGTTGTTAGTCACGAAGTCATGTCTGACCCATCACGACCCCATGGACAACATTCCTCCAGGCCTTCCTGTCCTCCACCATCTCCCGGAGTCCACTCAAGCTCACACCAACTGCTTCAGTGACTCCATCCAGCCACCTCATCCTCTGCCGTCCCCTTCTTCTTTCGCCATCTATTGTTCCCAGCATTAGGCTCTTCTCCAGGGAGTCCTTGCTTCTCATTACGTGGCCAAAGTATTTGAGCTTCATCTTCAGTATCTGGCCTTCTAAAGAGCAGTTGGGGTCAATCTCCTCTAGGACTGACTGGTTTGATCGCCTTACGGTCCAAGGAACTCGCAGGAGTCTCCTCCAGCATTTAATAAAATATATATTTCATCAAAGCGGGAATGCAGAGCATCGGGATGCCCACATACGACGTATTTGGAAACCCCGGGATAAAATGGAGCCACTAAACTGAGGTGGGCTTCCAGTTAGGGACACAGGAGATGATCTTGTGTCAAGTCAGGCCCACGGTTCATTTGGCCTAATAATGTCAACACAGGCCGGCAGCCGTGGCTCTCCAGCTTCCAGGCAGGAGCTTTTGCTGCCCTTCCTGGAGCAGGTGCTGAACCTCCTGTGCAAAGCAGGTGCTTTCCCACTGAGCTGCAGCCCATCAGATCTTTTGGCCTACGACTCCCATCAACCCTAGCCAGCATAGCCAAGGATCATGGGAGTTCTAGGACAGAACTTACGGAGGGCCAACGAGTGGCCTGTTGATGCTAACCGGATGTGCTAGAGGTCACGGTCCTGTACTCCATATGTGCAAATGAATCCCAACTTCCTCTGCAGTAGGGGGTCACGGGGCAGGCTGAAATTCTACCGGTAAAGCTTCTCCCTCAATTCCAAAAAATGATGCTTCTTTCCTTAAGAGGGCAGCATCCATGTGTTCCACCCACAAGGAGCTTCTGCCTTTTTCCTTCTAGTCTTTCGACATCTGTGGCCGCATTGGAAGTGTGCGGAAGGCCCTGAAGGTCCTCTGTACCCCTCAGGTAGGTCGGCAGCTGCTCCGCTTCCCCGTAATGAAGCTGCTGGGATGCTCTAACCATGGTAAGGAAGATCATTGGCCAGGAGCTGGGCTGCTTGCTCCATGGGGGCGTTGCATGCAAGAGGATCTGCTCACACGGAGTGGACTCGGGGGCCGATGACTGGGGGCCTCACAGCACTGGCCCACCAGCCCGTCCAGGCCAGTAGTTCGTTCACACAGTGGCCAAAGGGGCTGTGCAGTGGCTCCTTCCACTCGTGATCCCAGGAGCTGTTGCTTATAGGAATACTGCTTCTGCTGCTGGAGACAGGCTATAGCCATGAGGACTAGCAGCCATAGAAAGCCTTCTCCTCCCTGAATTTGCCCAGCCCCCCTGTAAAGCCCTGCAAACTGGGGGCCATCCCTGCCTCTCACGGAAGCGAATGCCACAGTTTAACTCGGCACTGCGTGGAGAATTCTTCCTTTGGATCTGCGCAGCGCCTCCCACCAATCCGCTTCCACTGGATTCCACCATATTACGAGGGGGGGAAACATCTCCCAGCTGATTTCTCTACCCCAAGCGGACTTCTCTACCCCTCCCTCACGTTGCTGAGCTAAGCAAGCAGTTGCTCCACCCCTGGTCTCTTCGGTTGCCCTTCCCGGCCCCTTTCCCGCTTTAGAGCCTCTCTTTCACAGGTGAGGTGGCCACTTTCCCCGGGGGGCCGCATCGAGCAGCCGAAACCGCCTGTGGGTTGCCCCTTGGTGACGCGCCTCCCTTTTGGCAGAGCTACGGAGTCCGAGCCACGAACCAGCAGTGCAGCGAGGCAGGGGACATCTGCGCCATCTGCCAGGCCGAATTCAGGGAGCCACTGGTCCTTTTGTGCCAGGTACTTGCTGGGTGCTGCGTTTCTCTCGTGGGGGCTTGGGCTTGGGGCACCTGCTGGCCCAGGTTGCCTACCTCGTGTCTGAGGCCGGGGGGCCAGGCGTGTGCCCCACTATCAGGGCACAAGCTTTGTGTGGGGAGGTCCCCAGAGTGGATGGTGGCCGAAACAGGGAGCCCTGTGAAGCAGGGGGCCTTCCTGAAGGGGTGACCCTCCCGGGGCAGTGGTGGAGTTGAATGGCAGGGTCCAGGTATCCAACGCACGTTGTGGCCGTTCCTGTCTGTGCTGGGAGACGGCGATTGCAAAGCGAACCGCCTTCATTGCCCCCACATGAAGAATATTAACACTCAGCCAGACGTGCAGGTTGGGAAAATCTGTTTGCCCCCGCCTCCCCTGGCTGGGGAGCAGCACTTGTGAAAGGGACCTCGGGGTGCTGGTCAACTGCAGGCTAAACATGAGCCAGCGGTGTGGCGCGGCGGTCGAGAGGGCGAACGCCACCCTTGGTTGCATAGCCAGAAGCATGGCTTCTAGATCAAGAGAAGTGTTCCTGCCACTCTGTACGACTCTGGTGTGCTCACAGCTGGAGTCTTGTGTTCAGTTCTGGGCTCCACAATACAGGAAGGATATAGCCAGATTAGAGTCAGTGCAGCGTCGGGCCACAAGGTTGGTGGCCGGTTTGCAGGGAAAGCCATATGAGGCGAGACTGAGGGAACTAGGTCTCTTCAGCCTGGAGAAGAGAAGACTCAGAGGGGATCTGTTGCCGACATACAGGTATGTGAGGGGGTGTCACACGGAGGAGGGTAGAGCCCTGTTCTCCCCTGCAGAGGAGGGCAGAACATGCTCCAGCGGAGCCAAGCTCAGGGAGCCAAGGTTCCGTTTGGATGCCAGGAAGCACTTCCTGACAGGACCCTGAGGGTGTGGAATGGGCTTCCAGGGGAGGTGCTTGAGGCCCCATAGGTGAGGGTGTTCAAGGATAGGCTGGACATCCACATGGTGGGCATGTCATGAGCAGAGCCGGCTGGTGCCGGAGTCAGACTAGGTGGCCCAAGAGGCCCCTTCTGGCTCGTTCTGTTTCGATGTTCCTCCAGTCCAAGCAACTGGGAGAACTGCAGCTATGCTCAGAGGGAGCGCAAAAGTCCAGGAGGAGGCAGGTGGCGTCTCAGTCCCCGCTGGCGAAAAGTGCTGAGGCTGCATCTGAGTCCCTGTGAGCCTCAGCTGTTGAAATCACTGAGCGGGACTCTGGGGAGGATCGGGGAGCGGCTCTCAGGGGCTGGGTGCCTGCAGTGCTGCATTTTGCACAGCCCCTGGAACTGCAGTCGGTCGGAGCATCGTGGGAGATGCTGGGCCACTAAAATGGCTGCTGCCCTGCAGAGGGCTAAGGCAGAAGGGCTGCCGTCCGTCCGCATCGTGATGGAGTGCCTGTCAAGAGACTGCCCCCCCCCCCCGAGGACCCCCTGGCAAGAGCCCCTTGGACTCGCAGCCCCTCTTCACCGCTGCAGCCTGCTTGCTGGTGTGGCTCCCCCGGATGCTGGGCCCTTCCACGGAGCTGACCAGGTCCTCCATCATTCGAAAGCCCAGCGCACCAGGAGAAGAAGGAAAATGGTCTTCATTTTTACGGCTTTGCTTTTTACTTAATCGCCCGCTTCCGGTGTGGGCTAAAAGTTTTGGCTATGCATCTCATTCCAAAAGCCCCAAAAAGCCACAGAACTCTGCTCAGCTCTCGGCTGCCTCCAGAATATCCAGAGATCGCGTCTCGGGAACGGTTTCCGGGGCCACCTTTGCCCAGTGCCCGGAAAAGAGCAAAATTACAGGGAAAGGGTTGTGGGCAGGCCAATATGCCAGCTTGAGGCTTGCAGGAGGCTCCTACTCAGCGCAGGAAATCCAGTGCTACAGGAACCTTATTTCAACCTTTGGGCGATCTGTCGGGCTGTACAAACCAGGAACGGCCAAAGGTGTCCTGTGCCCACATGCCTGGCTGCAAACTCCTCCAGACTCTGAGGAACTTACACACCGGCAGCTTCCCGCACACCCTGCTGTAAAGCTAATCGGTCTTAGTTGCCCCAGATACTTTGCATCAGGATGGGTATAGCTCCCTGCAGGATATCACCGCTGGGACGATGAAACTTCCCCCAGCCACCGCAGGCATTGCAGCTCAGTGTCCTTCCTGCTAATCAGAAGCTGCTGGGATCCGGCACCACCACACCACCGGTGAGTGCTGTGGCAGGTCCCCCAGACCTGTTGCAGTGCAAGCTCGGGCCATTCGTGGACAGAGCCGGGTATAATTGCGTGTCCCCAGTGGCCAGGCCCATGTGCAGGATCCGGATGAGACGCAGCATCCCGAGAATCGGGCCTGGCGCGCGCCGGGCATCCCTGAGCTGCTGCTTTCCCTTGGCCCTAAGCAGTGGGCAATTGCGAGCCGCTTGCGGCATTTTCCACGCAGAACCAGCGTGGCTGGTGGGGAAACTGGGGGGCCCCTTTGCTGCAGGCGAGGGCACCTGGAAGGCGCTTGTTCAGAGTCCCCCCAACCTCGAGGCAGACGTGCTGAGAATTGCAGCAGCGTTTTTAAAATAATAATTCGACTAGTCCTTACGGCTGTGGAGATGACATTCAACGTGCATGGGCCATTTGGGCTGAAATCTTAGGAGTCGGAGAAGAATCGAATGGGGTCTGCAGAAGGCAAGGTGCGGTGATAGATTTTCTCGTTTGTCCTTAGCTGTCACCTGATTTAATGACATCAGGTCTCCTTAATTGCATACTTAGTGCACAGTGTTAGGATCTATCTGGATACAGGATCGGAGGTTCCAAGCTGGCACATTGCTTTTTTATTTGTTCTGGGGGTTGTTTAGTCGCAAAGTCGCATCCGACCCATCGCGTCCCCATGGACAACACTCCTCCAGGCCCTCCTGTCCTCCACCATCCCTCGGAGTCCAGCCAAGCCCACACTCGCTGCCCCAGTGACCCCATCCAGCCACCTCATCCTCTGCCGTCCCCTTCTTCCTTTGCTGTCAGTCGTTCCCAGCATCAGGGTGTTCTGGGAACAATTGGCAGCGTTTTCATTGTCGTTTAAAAATTGTTTAAGCCTTTGTATCCCCTTTCTTGGCCAGAAAGCCTTGCCAGACTGCTTCGATTGCATCGCTAAGACAGGACTGTCTGCGTGTAGGCATGCAATCTACAAAGGCACAACACACAAGGAAAAAGCAGTGGGGAGGGGAAAGGAGGGAATCGTTCAGCAGAGCTGCTGGATCGGCCTCGTTTCCAGTCTGGTCCCCCTCTGGACATTCACCTGGACAGAAATGTCCACGGCGACGATGCGGAGGGCCATCTTTCTTCCTTTCTGCCCCTGTAGCACGTCTTCTGCGAAGAATGCCTCTGCCTTTGGTTCGATCGGGAGAAGACTTGCCCCCTCTGCCGGTCCGTAGCTGTGGAGACTCTCCGGTGTTGGAAGGACGGCACCACCTCGGCTCATTTCCAGGTGTACTAACGCCCGGGTTTTTCGAGGAGACGGGGTCTTTCTGGAGGGGTGAGGAGGGAGAGCGAGGAGGAGTGGCCGGGAACTCGCCTGCTGGCCCCGCCACTTGCACCCCACACCCTTCTTCGCAAGGCATGCAATGGATTGACGGATGGCTTGATGCAATGAAGGGGGCGGGTGCATTTCAGGCTCTCCACGGCTGCAAAGCGGGATTCTCTTTGCAAAGTGGGATGCTCACGATCACACGTAGCGCTCCACTGAACACGAGCTGCCGGGGCGAAGGGACACGGAGCTGGCTGCTTGGACCCAACCTGATGCAGCAGGTCAGGCTGACCTCTGTGTTTCCTGAGGCACGTGCCCAGCTGGACAGCTTGGTAGGTTTGTGGAAGGGCCCTTGCAACAGCGTATCCACCGGTGTGTTAACCTTGGTTACACCACCCCTCTGTTAACATGGCACAATTACCCAAGAATGCAGTTTGAATTTCATGCATTGCCTTGTGTTGCCATCTGGGCTTCCCAAAATGGCTCTTTGCTCTGCATCAGTTAGTTGGCTGTGTATATTGGTGATGTTTTTAAATAGAGATTCATTTTCGTCAACCTTTACATGGAACTCCCAGGGGCTTCCGCTCCTCATCGATCGGTGCTCATGCCATTGAACAGGGCATAATTGCCTCATTAGCTCATCATGCTAAACCATGGTGTGGTTTGTCAAACTCCAGCTTGCTTTGCCTGAACACAACCGCATAAACAAACCATGGTTCATTAACCAGTTGTAAACCAAAGATAAAATCACGGTTTATTGCTGGCTTATCGAGTCTGGCTTGTGATGTCTGAACCCAGAACTGTGGTTTATCTTATTCGCATTTTAGCCTATCCTAAAACAGAGGCACCCAGCAAGAGCAGCTTGGAAATGAAACTGCTCCGAAGGCTGGGAGCATGGGTTAGTGAAAAACAAACTAGAAATAGGGAAGACAAGCTACATGCGTTGTGTAATTTGTGGCTAAACCAACAAACCATGGTTAACATAAACTATGGTGAGACATGTGGAAACACAACCACAGTCTACAAGCTACCTCCATGTATGCACCGCAGCAAAAATGTTGTGTGTGGGGGGGTGTCTCTACATTAGGCTTGTCCAGATGTCTGTCCGATGCTGCACGCTCCTTTCTTTCCCCTTTTCCCGTTGCGCAGTAGCTTCGGTGCAAAACTCCCAGCTTGCGCAAAGACCAAGTTCACCGTTACGTTTACTCTCCTGGCTTGTTCAGTGATGTGAAGCCAGAATTTCCAGTGAAAATTTCTTGCCATTCATCTTCATGCCAGTGAATGGCAAGAAAGCCGAGGGAGGGGCACGGGACCCTTGTGCTTGGGCACAGCCTTGTAAAACAGGACTGATGGGTGGTAATTGACGTACAGCCGTTGTCCATTCTTTTCTTTGTGGAGGAAAATGGAATTCTCTGAAACACACAGGGCGTAGAATAAAGCATTCCAGTTGCAAAGGGAATGGATGGTATTGATTTATATTTTTCCATGCAAAAGGATGATCTGCTTCTTTGGAATTGGGTGGGGAGGAGAGGAATCCTAGGATTGGGACCAAACACAGTTTACCCATGGTCCCAGTCTGGTCTTCCACAGCTCCCAAAATAGCCCCCCACTATTCCCCAGCTACCGAGAGTGTTGTGGTTTCCCAACTTTTGTGCCATCCCCCCACACCCTACAAATTGTGAAAAGTTGAAATGCAGAAAAGGCTTTAAGATAGGATACGCTAGTGTTGTATTCTCCACGCTGCCCCCTTCGCCTTTGGCCCTGCCCCCCCCCCCCCCCCATGGCATGTGGCCCCCGAGAACTTCTTAGCAATTGAACTTGGCTGGGCCTGTCTGTTCCTGGCTTGTGTTTGCATTCTTTTAGGGCACAATCCTGCGCGTGTTTAGGCAGAAAGGTGCTTGCGTGGGGGCTTGCCTTTAAGCGTGACGTCTCATGATAAGTTTAGGCTTTCAAAGCTACACGCCAATAAAACCAGCATTGCAAATCCTTTTCAAAGTATTTCCACTGCCCAAACGATCCCGGGAGATGCGCAGTTCAAAGGTAGGCAGGGAAGAAGGTACCGCTGGGAGAGTTCAGTCTGATTTTGCCTTGTGATATGATTTGGTGGGGTGCTGTTTTCTTTTGCGTTGGCCTCTACGGCAGTGATTCTGAAAGTCTCTGGTTGGAGAGACGGAAGGGCAGAGGAGGAGAGGGCGGTTTGTTACCTGTTTTCTTTGTTGCTGTAGATGATCTTCAAGAGGAGAACATGTATCTAAACCAACACACACGTCGGAACAGACAGAGGGGCAAACTTTGGGCTGAGCAGACGGAAAGCTCAGGCTGGCTGGAACTTCAGCCTAGGGCAGTGGTGGCGAACCTATGGCACGCGTGCCACAGTGGGCACACAGAGCCCCCTCTGTCGGCACGCGAGCCAAGTCGCCCCAGCATCGCCCCAGCAGCTGAGCATCGGATAGCAGTGCACATAGGGGCCATGCGCATGCTCGGAAAGGAGTAGCAGCGCCAGGCGATGACGCCATGCGCTGCGACTCATTAGCCACAACTCCTCCAAGCTTTCGCATGGCCAGTCAGTGCACTGCCAAGGATATATCTATTTTTGCTCGGACTGGCTGTGAGTTGTTCTTTCTAAACTAAAACCCAGTATTCAGATTGTATTGTAGTGTTGGCACTTTGCGATATATAAGTGGGTTTTGGATTGCGGTTTGGGCACTCGGTCTGTAACAGGTTCGCCATCACTGGCTGAGAGGTTTCCCTTGAATCCTTGTCTGTTTGACTTGCCATGAAAATGATGGGTGGCTGAGGACAAACTTGAGCCTGGGAAGACCCAGCTCAACACACACACACACAACCCTTACAGTGATGCAAAGCAGGTGGGCGGCATTCCTGTGGGATGTACACCCAGTTTTTGCAGACATTTCCAGAACTAGCAAGTGATCTGCTCATTCTTGCATGGTCCTATTTATGGATTTGCTCCTCTGCACTGGGACAATCAACAGGGTTAGGGTTGCAGGATATAAATTGAATGTTTTGAAGCATGAACATCAGGTGTGTACACACACACACACACACACACACACTCAAGCAATGACTACATGAATCCTTGTCATTGGGCATTTTTTTTAATAAAGTCATTATAAATATGTACAAAGTCTCTGAAATAGGAAAATCCTCTTACAAAACAACGGGGCAAAGTCCCATCTGACTGTAAACAAAAGTTAAGTTAGAGAAGTGGTCGTCCAAAAGCTCTTGAGAACACCAGTTTGCTGATACCCTCAGACCAATTCCACATTTCCAATTTCCTACATGGAAGTCACTTCTCTGGATGGAAAGACCCCAAAGCCATGTGTTGATCACCGTATTCCAAAGATAGTAATTTGTTCTTTCTATGTGCATCCAAAAGCTATATGTAAGCATAGCTCCTTCCACATTAATTTATTTAAAATATATATGTATATAAATGTTTTTCCAGCATGTGTTGAAAACAGCTTAAAACTGGAGCAGTGAAAAGCACTCCATGTAAAATCAGTGAAAACCTGCTTTTGTTTTTTAAAAGAAGCATCAGCAATGAGAAGTTAATCAAGGGAAAAACGTAGGGCAGAATCTGAAAGAACTAATCGTACAAGAACAGACGGGATTGCCTGTGTCCATCTAACCCAGCATGGTTTGTTTTCAACTGCAGCCGCTCGTTGCAGGGTCCAGAATGACATTTTGCCCATCCCCTGCCCATCCACCACTTTAAGTGCAAACACCGGGGCTTGAACCCCTGACCTCCTGCATGCAAAGCGGGAGCTTTGCCGTTGAGCTGCCGTGTTTGCCCACCTCTTTTCCTTGACATCCCCGCTGAAAGTCAGTCGAACAAGGGAAACAACCCCCCAATTCCAAAGGGAATGCATTCAACGGAAGGGGTGTCAAGCCTCTTTCAGTAAGAGGACTGCATCCCATTTTGTAGAACTCCATTCCTGGGAGGTGGAGCCAAAGGCAAAAGGGTGTGGCCAAAATCCCCAAATATTTTTGGCTTAAAGCTCCTGGAGCCAACAACTAAGGCTTAGGGGAGGCGTTTCAACTGCACAAAAGCCAGAAAAGCAATTGTGGGGAGGGGGGGAGACAGTACGCAGAGGTAAGGTCTTGTGGTGGTCTGGTGCACCACAGAGGGCTGGATTTGGGCCTCTGGGAAGCCATCTCTAAGAGGCTTGCTGGAGCAGACTGGCCGTTCCTCTACAATCTCTCTCTTTGGCGGCTCTGTTGAAACGTGCATTGACTTCGCTAAGCGCACCATCTGCTTGGCTCTAGGGAGGTGTGGAAGGGGCTGATAGGACATTTCCCTGCCCAGCGGAGAGCTCACGCTTTGCAAGTGGAAGCCAACCAGACTCACTAATGCTGCCATCGCTCAAGTAACCAGGACAAGCAATCAGAGGGGAAAAAAGCGGGGAATGTTCGCTCAGGGACAGAACCACCAAAGAGGAGCACTTGGAAAAAGTCGGATGAGTGGCACATGCCAAGGGACTTTAGGTGCTGATTTTGGGGGGAGCTCCTGATACCCCGGCAAAGCAAGATTCTCTGCCTTCAAATGTCGCTTTAAAAAGGAATCGGATCCTCACTCCAACTCTCCATATGCCCTTAGGATGTGGAGTCCGCTGCAGTGATTCCAGCTGGGGTCTGAGAGTACCCCACAATCATCCCCAAATCTCGGCACCATAACTCATCTGGGCTGCCATGGAAAACTGCAAGCACTGGGGAATTGTGAGCTTGTGCGCAAAATCAACCCGCCCCCATGAGATGGAGAGTATTGATTACATGAATCTCTGTCTACTGCAAACATCATCCAGAAACAAAATTGGTGGTGGTTTTTTATTTTTTTAAAAAAATGCATCCATCTACCCAAAAAATGGAGCCCGCGAATATTGACCATCTTACAAAATGTTAAGGCATCGACAGCTGTAAAGGCTGTCTTAGAGATGGATACCGGAAACCTAATGCCCATTTCAACCTCTGTGCTTTGCCCACACAGAACTTGTGCTGTAAAACTGACACATTTTCAAGGTTTCTGTATCTGACTTCGCCCTTGTAGTTTAACCCCTGTTTATCTTCCCAGATAAGGCCAGTGGAAAAAAGGAAGTGTGATCATATCAGCCATAGGAAAAGGTTGGATGGTGTATTTTCAGACATGATGTTGTCACACTGGGTGCCCTGGCAGCACCCGCGACAACTTAAGAGTGAACGGCTTAGATTACACTTACATCTGCTGCACGTAGGAAAGTGGTCTTCCTTGCTTGCTCTTCATGACAGCCCTTCAAATTCTGCAGAGGCCCCTCAAAATCCATCAGGGTCACCAACACCTATCTGCCATCTCTTCCTGCCTTTTCAGACTGTGACTGCATATGGACCCTGCCCCAAGAACAGCCGGCTTCCTGCCTCGTGCTCCTTTCCTTTGTCTCCCATGCTGCTTAGCAGAGGAGTTGTACAGGCCTTGAAAGCGTGCCTGCTGTTCTGTGACATGTGGGCTGGCCTAAAGGAGCTGCTCATTCATTCCGGGTTCTGGGCTTACGGCGGATTCAGGCTGGTTCTGCATTCGCTGAACTGCCTTCCCTGGAATCCCATCATTGGCAAATCTGGTTGGACGAGGTTTGCTTCATCAACCTGGTAGCTTTCGATAGCCTCAGGCAGGGGTCTTTTGCTGCCCTCCCAGCAGGAATTCTTTTAACGGGACGGGTGTGCTCTCCCACCATACTTTGGCACTTCTCGGCACCACTGAAAGGAAGAAATAGCCCTTTTCTCTCATTGAGAAGGTGTGGGGCACACGCAAAACACCAGGCTTGGGTCCAGCCCCAGATCAATTTCTTAGGCCCCCGTATCTATTCCTTGTGGCCCTGAGGGCTCTTGCTCCCATCCCTACAAGCTGAAATTCCCACACATCTTTCTCTGCATGACAAGAGCTTATATGGGAAGAAATTCCCCCATCATCATCCATGGAATGAGCTGGGGCAGAGCACAGATTAATTGAAGAATGCATTGATTTGCAATTCTTCAAATCCTGGTAGGTGCATCTATGGGATATATGAGCAGATGCATCCTATGGACTAGGAACCTGAATTTTTCCAGCGCGTTGTTTGTATGTCATCAATTCATTTATGCCTAGCCATGGAAGACCTTAATACAATGTTTTATTGGGAAACTCTTTTGCGGCCGCTGCTTCCAAGAGTTTTGCTTTTAGAACACGCTGATCCATGCACGAACCTATCAAACTTGATGCAGAACACAGGTGTTTTGTGCTCAAGCCACAAGTAAAGAACAGAAAATTGAGAACAGACCCTTGCTTCCTTAATAATGGGAAAGGAAGGGTCCAAGTACATACTGCACCATTGCATCTTTTTTTTTAAGAAATAGTAAATAGGAGGAGGCCTTAAAGCTTCACCTGCCCCTGTGGTCCTGGCTCAGGTCAGAAACCCCGTGCCTGCCTTCTATACTGCAATGAAATTTCCATTCATTCCAATGGAGGCTTCCCTCTTAATGCAAACTAGGGGTAAGCCTCCAAGAAGGACTGGACTACAGTGGAAAGCACAGGAAACACCCAAGTCCTTATTCACACCTGCCACTGTCCACCCCTGGATCAGGGCCGCACATATACTACACACTGAAAAAGAATTATTGGTGCAGCTAAGCTTTGGGGCTGAAATCCAGCCCATGGGCAGGGGGTGAGGACATCAGGGTACCAAAAGCAAACATTTTACTGCCACGATCGTGGCATGCTATGATTTAAGTAAAATACCAAAGTGCACATGCTCAGATACTACTTCAGTTTTTTTTGCCTAACTGAATCTCAATTAACAATTTTGCTGTCCTACATACCAGGCACCGTTTTAAAGCACGGAATGGTGTTTGGAGGCGTGGGGGAAAGAGATGTTATTTGTGTATCACTGCTGTTGTGCAGCTGGGAAGGTCATCCAATGCATCCCTCCCCATATGCACGGACATGCACCCCCAGAAGACAATTAAATCCGGGGTCTAAAATTACCTAGCTACACCCCACTCTTTGTCATTCCTAATTACAAGAACAGGTCCATAGTTAGTTTTACGTCAACAAGGACACAAGACAAACCCTGACGGATCAAACCAAGAGCCCGTTGAGCCCTGCCTTCTGTGTGCAGACAGGCAGGTGTCTGCAGCTCACCAGCAGGGCTTAAAGGCACCCCATCCCTAAACTATGTGCGGACATCAGTAAAAAAGAGATTTTTTATATTCATTGGTAAACAACTGTTCGCCTGGTCTTCTGCTCTCTTCCCTAATTCTCTACATGCAGCATTCTATACTATATTGGGTAACTAATGCAGAAATTACATTCGAAAGAATCTCCAGTGGGTTTTTTCCCCCAGAAGTAAAGCGGCAGCCTTGGGTACTGTATTTCCAGGCAGGCAGGCAGGCAGATCTGCTCTTCTCCACCTCGACCACCTACCTTTGGGGGTGGCTAGTGGCCTACAGCTACATCCCTGTGCCCTGTGACTTCAACCATGCCTCCCGTACCTTTTGCCAACTCCAAACACTGCATTCTTCTCAAACACGCCTCTCCTGCTCCTAGCCCAAAATTTCGGAATTTTGCAAACACCCCCCAAAAAGGCCATTGGAGCAGGTGCCACCTTTGCGCATCACTATGATGAAATCTAAGCTAATTCTGTGGAATACTAAGTTGCTTTTCACCACTACAAATGGCCTGCGCTTTAGCCCTGTTTCGCCTTTCTCTGTCATCACACTGGGATCAAACTGGACCATGTAAGCTCCTCGGGGCACAGACCTGTCCTCTTGTACTCCGCCAAACGCAGGGCACACTGAGGTCCCTATATAAAGAAATAAGCAACAGAGCCCAAATCTGAAATGCAGCCACGACTTCTTATCCACCAGTTCGTCCTAGCTCTCTTGTTCCGAGGGGCGGGTGAGTGGGTGGGTTGAATTTTAAAAGTACAATTCTTTGTGGAATAGATTCCTCTAGAGTCTCGCACAGATGTTTCCCTGGTTGTTCATGCCAACACTCCAACAGAATTAAGAGGAGACATTCTACCAGCTTCAGGAATCGACTGGCTTTCTTCGTGATCCAGGAGGTAGGACTACAGCAAGGGTGCGGAGGTAGCAAGGAAGCAGATTCCAGCCAAACATTAGGAGAAACTTCGTGACAGCTTTGCAGGAGTGGAAGGGGAAGGCTTTAAGAGAGATGGGCCTTCCTTTGCTACAGGGTTCAAGTGAAGGCTGGAACGGCTAGGGGAGCTGCAGATGTGTCCCGCACTGCGGATGCTACATTGAACAGTCTTGGGTTAGAGGACCTCCGAGGTCCCTACCAACTTCCCAGTCCTACTGTTCACCCTTTTTGCTTCATTAACACAAGAAGCGAAACCAAGATGGACAGCACTTCAGCCTATAGATTTTGCAAGATCTAAACCCTACAGGCACTGGCAGTGCTTCAACTTGGGAGTCATATGTACTGGGCTGCTATAATTCTTAATAAGTTTTCTGATACAAATCCTTACTCTTTATAAGTTATGAAGAGGGGCTCTTTTCTTTACAAAGCAAAAGGTAACAGCTATTTTACAATGCCCCAAGCAGAATTCTTAATGAAACAAAGTTTTGCAGAGTTCCCCTCTATATTCCTTGAAAATGTGCCGTGTATGCCACAAATATGTTGAGGAAAAAGAGAGATTCTCTGCCCATGTTGCAAAGTCACCTTGTGGGTTCTTCATTTGAGTTACCCTCTAATAGCATTTTGAAATTTAATTTCTTTTAAAATGCACAAGACACTCAGAGTCAGTGAAGACGCAAAAGCACCTGGAAGCCATTTCAGCTTCACAGCTCTGTGGAGGCTTGTTGTGGCTGCTAGGGATGGTGGTAGAGGAGGAAAGGCACTCTACACATGCTCAGATACATGCTGGACAGTATACCACTGAGCTTGGTGCCATAAATGGATCCAAACGCTAAACCTGGGTGAACCCCAGCATAACGGAACTGAATCATTTAATGCAGATGGGTCTTACTCCAGACTTTCATTCCAAGAATGACAAAGCTCAGTTGGGGTTCAGTGCAGCACAAGTCTTTCTTTGGAAAGCAGTGCCTAGCAGTAGAATCGGCAAGGAAATTGAAGTGGAAAGGTGGTTTCTTAGACCTTTGGGTCAAGTCCTTAGAGAAGCTCCAAAGTAACTGAAGGAGCCAGCTGCTTTTTTCGTGTCCTAGCAAAGTCTTCTTGCACCCTCTCTCTCTCTCTCTCTCTCGGAAATAACGATCCCCTTGATTAAACTGAGCCTGCCATGCTTGCTACCAGCTCCATACCCTGCCTTACTGTAAATTTATTTTGAAACCCTCAAAAGCAGATTCTTCTGCCTGTCCGGGTCCCTCTGATGCAAGGCGAAAGGCCATCGCATGAGTGAAGGGCTCTGAATGCCCGCGATAAACCAAACCCAAGTCTCTTCTGCTTACCATTCACCCATCCAGCAGAATAACTCAGCCAGAGCTTTGTTTTTCCAGTTATGAGACTGGAGGTCCTTTGTCTCTAAGCACATGCCACGTGAGAGGAGCGCTGGAAGAGCCATTTTTACCACCCACCTTAAAAACCGCTAGAGATTTTAAGAATTAAGCACACAGTCCTGTATGTGTGAAGACAGGAACAGGTCCTACAGCTCCGAGCATTCCCCAGTCAGCTATAGGCCTTCTTTCCAAGCACTCACAAGCTTGCACGCTCCCGGTGTTAGACATTGCACGGCAAATGCGTTGCAAGAAGCACCATCGAATTGTGCTTTGCTCCGTGGATGGGTAAGCATCCATTAAGGTTCTCAGATGGGCCACAAGTGGCAAAAAGAGCCCTCCAGCCCTTCCTTTCCCTATGAATACGAATGACCAAAAAGCACATCTGGTTTCATCTGTTAATAAGACGGTTCGTTTGTTCCCCCCCCAAAATAAAAAAATAACAACAACAACATAGCACCACGAAGACAACTTCGCGCAAATCTTAATTCGCAGCACCAGAAAACTAAAGTTATCGAGACATTTTCTCTCGCCCTCCCACAGAGACCTTTTGACAGTGATATGTACACCCCACCCATGCGTAGAGAGATATAGATAGAAACACCCATGCAAGGCTGTCTCCGCTACGACCCTGTCCCCGTGACGGGCCCGGTGCCCGCCAACAGCGAGCGTGGCTTCCGGAGGCGCCAAAGCAACGTGGCACCCCCCTGCGGTCAGAAAACGAGCGGCCGCATTCCCCTAGCCCTAGTGGCAGGGAGGGATTGGGACCACGAACCGGGCGACTCACATGCCACAACGCGGCTGTACAAGGCATGCACGGCTGGCCCGTGTTTGCGCACGCAAAGGTTACACTGGTCTTCTTTCTCCGCTGCTGCTTCTGTACAAAAGTGTCTTCTCACACAGGCGCGCTGATCTTGCCGTCAGACTACGCAGCAGGTCCCCCCGTCCGAGTTGCTCGCCTCTCGCTCTCCCAGCTGCCTCCTCTCCTCTTCCATCTTGCTCTTCATGTCTTCCGCTCAAGGACTGCACTCTTGCTGGAACGGGGGAAGCTTCCCAGATTTTCCTTCAGCCTAGCAAAAGGTGGTGGGGCAGGGCAGAGGAGGGGGAAAAGGTTTGCTTACATTGACAATAGGAACTAGATTTGATTTAGGTTTGGTGGCTGCGTACAAAGAGACAGACAGACAGACAGACAGAAGACTGATCTCAGCAGATAAACAGGCTTATTATAACTAAAGTCAGTGGCTGCATTCAGATGTGATGACAAGCTTGTTTCTCACAGGGATGGAAAACCTCAGGTCTTGAGCCAAATCCAATCTGCTGGATGCCCTCCCCCTCTTTCCCTGCCCCTCTTCCCCCAGCCACCAATTGTTGGTGGTTCCCCAGCTTTTGTGCTGTTATTTTGGGTCTCTTTGGCTGCATCTGCTTCCGGAATGAAGCCACGCAGAGCTTCTCCAAAATCAAATGTGGTTCTTGGGCTTCTAATGAGGATGTTTTATCTTTATTAAATGCATGCATTGCTTCCCACCTTTAAAGAAAAGGTCTTGAAGTGACTCACATACATAAATACAGAAATCCATAGTCAGTGGAATGGGGACACCCATCCATATAATACAAATAAATCATACAACTAAAGACCTTAAAAACATAAAGCCAACAATGCATTCTGAAAAGTGATCACCCCACAGTACACAGACGCTCCCATTCCACTCCCTGCCCCTCCCACATCACCCCAGCCGAGAATGAACACTTAAAACAGCCCACAATGACCGGGCTGTAACGAATGTCCCATTGTCTGGGAGAATGTCTTTACCTGGCACCAAAGAGACGGCAGGGTCAGTGCCAGGTGACGTCCTTTGGGGAAGCTTTCCCTAAGTCAGTGCTATGGCAAAACTGAGGCTGTCCTGTTGAGAAGGCGGGACTTCCTGAGCATGTTGGGACAGCCCAAGGCAGAAGATGGAAGGGAAACAGAAACAGAGTGAGTCAGAAGGGAGCTCCTGGGCCATCTAGTCTGACCCCCGGCTCCAGCCGGCTCTGCTCATAGAAACAGATGCGAGGCAGAAGGGGCTCCCGGGCCATCTAGTCTGACCTGGCTCCAGCCGGCTCTGCTCATAGAAACATAGAAACAGTACAAGGCAGAAGGGGTCTCCGGGCCATCTAGTCTGACCCCCAGCTCCAGCCGGCTCTGCTCATAGAAACATAGAAACAGAGCGAGGCAGAAGGGGTCTCTGGGCCATCTAGTCTGACCCCGGCTCCAGCCGGCTCTGCTCACGACATGCCCACCAAATACAAGGTGCAGGGACTCCATCAAGGAAGCCGCAGCCTTGAACCTGGGAGAGCTGGACGGAGCTGTCATGGACAGGGCATTGTGGGTGGCTTTCATCCGTGGGGTTGCCACAGGCTGGGGACGACGCACTGGCACGTAACAACATCTGGCCCCTGGCCCTGAGCACGTGTGAGCAGAAGGGAGGTCTGCGGGTTCCCAGCATTCCTGAGCACCACCCATGCTGGGAGGCAGCGCTGGAAGCATTTGGAAATCGGACTTCTGTCACCTGTGCTGGAGGTGTCAGGATTGGGGTAGCTGCCGGCCCCAGCACAGAACTGCTGGTTGCTATTTAATATGAGGGTGATACCTTCTGTCCCGGACAGGGCGGTCGGGCAAAGCAGTGTACGGGGCCCCTATGACAACTACAGCTACTGCTAACTTTGGAAGTTTTCCAATTTTGCAAGGGTTAACATACACAGCTTAGTATGGGGCCCACGGGCAAGTGCCCATCAGGCCCGTGCATTAGGACGGCCCTGGTCCCGGGATGTAATATATTCTCTCGGGGACCCTGGGCAGTTGTTTCTTAAGCCCACACAATTTACTCAGCCTTACATCCATAATGGAATTTCACATGGCCATATCAGGCCATCTTGTTTGCTTTTAAATTATATTTGTTTGTTTGTTTATCACTTTTGTATGCCTCCCCATAGCCAAAGGCTCTCTGGGTGGCTCACAGTGCAATATAAATATATCTAAAATACAGATAAAAATAACTACCAATAAGAAACAAACCATAAAACAGCAAAATTAAACTACAATATAAATACAACCAAATAAATAGTAAACATGTATGAATCTACTTGCTTCTGCAACACTGGCCCAAATATGCAGAAACTTCTATTTTAATTTTGGGCAATCCCTTCCAAACTTAACAACAGAGTTCACCGCTGAAGCAAAGATGGATATTGCCATTTCTGCATTTCTGTGAAAAAGTAAAATTCGACATTTTTGTGGGGATAGTTATTCGGAGGAGTTCCTCCAGGTGTGTAGAAGCCACAATCTTATTTTGGCTTATCTTATCCAGACCTTCCAATCTTATCCAGACCTTCCTGAGGCAGGAAAGCCTTTTCTCCCATTGACAGCAATGGAAGCCGAGCACTGCGCCGCTAACAGACAAACTGCGTTTGAAAAACCGCTGCCTACTGCTGAGTCAGCTGGCCCAGGCCCATCGCGAGGAAATGCCTCCAGCCCTCAACCGCGTTTTTGGACTTCTGCGCCGCCCAGTGTGAGATGCCTCCGGAAACCTTATCAGTCCAATTTTGAATGCAGATAATTAACTCCACCGAAAATTTTGACGGCGCTGCCCTGTGCCACCCCAGCAGCTCATGGCAGGGGAACCGAGTGGCAGCGCTGATGGCGCCGGACCAAGCTGGTGGTGGCTGGCAAGGAGAGGCACGGTTTTAATTTAGCATGCTGTGCCGTGCTTAGGCTGAGAGAGCAAAACACATTCGACGCGGCATGCCAGACTGGCGTGGACTAACCTGGCCAGGCCTTCCAAGGTGATGTCAGATTGCATATTTAACAGCTGCAATCCACAGAGCGACTTCTCTCTTTTTCTCTCGTTCCCGCGCCAGAGACATCGTGCTCGAGGCCGCAACACAAGCCACTTTGCTTCTGCAGGGTGGGTCAAGGGTGGGCCAGGGAGCAAGAGGGAAAGAACAGACAAACCAGTGGCGGGGGGATGCCTGGTTGTGCCTTTGGTGACAGTGCTTGCAAAGGCCTGGACTAGCCAGAACTCTCTGGGGAGCCCACAAATAATGAAACCCAAAGATGCACCATGGATTCCTCCTCTTCCTCTGAGGGACAGTCCTTCAGGTATTGGAGGGACGCTGCCTTGTCTCCCTTTGTCTTGCTAACAGGCCCTGCTCCTTCAGTCATACAAGATGTGCCATGCCTGCCGAAGGTCCCGAGTTCAATCTGTAGGCTCTCCAGGGTGGGTTTCTGCCTGCAAGCCTGGGGGACTGCTGCCGGTCCGTGTTGACAACACTAGGCTGGATGGGCCAAGCGAGGGGCTGTAGTTCAGTGGTGGAGCAGATGCTTTATATGCAGAAGGTCCCAGCTCTGGTCCCCACCAATAGGGCAGGAGAACCTATTGCTGCCAGTCAGTGCCAGTAACTCTGGGCTAGATATAGCAAGGGACCGATTCAGTCAAAGGCACCTTCCTTGGTTCCTACCCTTTCTGCAAAGGATTTGTTCTCCATGCCCTTCACCACCCTCCTTGCCCTCTCCTGAATCTATCCAGTTTGTCCCAGTCCCTCTTCTAGGGCGGCACCCAGAACTGTTCATGGGTTGCCACACCAGCTGCCTGGGCTTCTCTTCCTTCTACAGCCTGCAACTCTTGCATTCCCACTGTGGAAGGCCAGTGCCTTCTAGTAGTTGGCTAGGACAAGCCACCTCCACTTGGAGCCCTCCTGGTAGTTTGGACTCCAGTTTCCATCATTCCCAGCAAAGGCTGGGCTGGGAGGACTGGTGAATCTGGGATTCGAGCCCCCATTCAGTTACTGGATGAGGTTTGGCTTCAGGGTATCATTTGGATGCAGCCCTGAGCTCCTAAGAAGAAAGGTGGGATAAACCATAATTAGAAATCCAGTATACCTGTAGAATGTGCTTGGAGCCTATGAAGTTGCCCTCCCCAGAGGCAAACCACCTGCTTATGTCCAGAGTTTATCAAGATGTTCAGCAGAATGCTTTCTGAACCCTCCAATCTGAGGTTCTTCCAGTGGAGAGCTAAATTTAAGATTGTCCCCTTCCAGACCATGGGTTAATTAGCAGACGTTTGGCAAGACTATAAGTATGCTGAGAAAGATGGTCCATCTCCCATCATCCCTGCACAACCCAAGCCCATTGAAATCAAGCTCCCCCTGGTGTTATTTCAGCCGCTGTAGCAGGAAGGGGCTGGCAGGTCTCACGTGGCTTGCCCACAGTTGGTCCAGAGTAATCAGTACTACGGACTGGTGACCTGACTTGATATGGAGGTGCCTTTCTCGTTCCCTTACAGTTTTAGACCTGATCCACAGGCTCGAGCATGTGCATTTGCCAAAATTAAGTGAGCAAGAGGGATTATAAGACACCAAGGAAGACAGGAATGCTGACATGATGTAGGTGAACCTCCAGTAGCTGGGTGGGATTTGGGCTGTGTGGCTCGCCTTGTTCATTCTCTTCTCATTCTTTGCCTCTGCATCGCAATCTTTTGAAATTCACTGCAAGGAGTGAGATGGCTTTATTTTATTTTTGGGCATGGTAGCCAAAGGATTGGGCAGCTTTATTAGTCCACGCGTGTATGTGCGTACAAAAACCCATGCGCACACACCCAAGCACCTTCAGCACCTAAGAAACTGGCTACAGACCATACCTGGGCACAGCCTTCCTTCCTGAAACACCTGAAAAGG